GCACAAGAGTCCTGGATGTCCTTATGTATGTTTGAATGTTACAGCTATATATAGAACAATTTTCAGCTATATAAAGTTAGTTTCACAATATTGCCTATCTAAATATATTTACAATGTAGTAATCAGTGAACTCAACAATATTATTTCAACAAGCTATATAGTATGCTACTTGGTATTGGTCCGTTATCGTTATTCATAATATTATTATGTTTACTTATCTCTACACTCTCATAGGCATCTAGTTGCCTGTTGTTGTTAACTTGTCTAATTAATCTTAAAGAACTGAAATCTATGGAATGGTTTTGTTGCAAAATATGATGGGCGACTGCTGATTTTTCAGGTCTTCCATATTTTAAGTGTGCTATGTGTTTTTTATATCTCACTTCAATAGATCTTTTTGTCTCTCCATAATATTTTGCATCGCAATATTTTGCAAATTTTTTTCTAATTATGTCATATACAATACCCCTCTGAAAACCGTTAGTGGTTGCTATTTTCTGTATTGTGCGTTTTTCTTTTGTGAAACTATCATGTGTTAGAGGGAAAGTCAAAAGACGATGCACCAAAAAATTCAACCCAGTACGTTTATGCTGTCCACAGTGATGTGAACTGTCAGGAATATACTTGTACGTACTTGTTTCTTTTCTAAATATATCGTATTCTAACCCTCCATCTTTGCTCGTCATTACCAAAACGTCAAGAAATGGTAGTTGTCCCTTATTTCATTTTCTAATTCATACGTGAATTTTATTGATGGATATCTATTATTTAAAAAGGAAACAAAGTCCTCGATATTTGATTTTTCGGTATCGAATACCGCGAAAATATCATCCACATACCTTAGTTAAATCCTAGGAAAGTACTTAGACTTTTCTTTAGTTTCCATTTCGAATCTGCTTATGAACAGGTCTGCCAGGTAGGGGGACAAGGGATTTCCCATGGCCGTTCCTTCCTGGTAGAAGGTTGCTTTTATGAACAACAGGAAGGAACGGCCATGGGAAATCCCTTGTCCCCCTACCTGGCAGACCTGTCCATGAGCAGATTCGAAATGGAAACTAAAGAAAAGTCAAAGTAGTTTCCTAACGTGCTGTGTTGAATTTTTTGGTGCATAGTCTTTTGACTTTCCCTCTAACACATGATAGGTTCACAAAAGAAAAACGCACAATACAGGAAATAGCAGCCACTAACGGTTTCCCGAGTGGTATTGTAGATGACATAATTAGAAAAAAGAAGTTTAGTTTAAGAATGAACGAAATCTCGATTTTCAGAAAGGACAAAAATCAAGATAAATACCTCTCAGTTCCATACCACCAATATACGAACTTTGGAAAGATTTTCAGGGAACTAGGTATGAATGTGGTTTTTAAAACAAGTCATACACTGCAGAGCCTTTTGGGAAGTCCAAAAGACAAAGTCGAGAATTCGGAAAAATCTGGAATTTACGAAATTGAATGTAAGGACTGCGATGCAAAATATTATGGACAGACAAAAAGATGTATCAAAGTGAGATATAAGGAACACATATCACACTTAAAATATGGAAGACCTGAAAAATCACCAGTCGCTCATCATATTTTGCAACAAAAACCATTCCATAGACTTCAGTTCTTTAAGATTAGTTAGACAGGTTAACAACAACAGGCAACTAGATGCCTATGAGAGTGTAGAGATAAGTAAACATAATAATATTATGAATAACGATAACGGACCAATACCAAATAGCATACTATATAGCTGGTTGAAAAAATATTGTTGAGTTTACTGATTACTACAAAAAGACACATTGTAAATATACTTAGATAGGCAATATTGTGAAACTAATTTTATATAGCTGAAAATTGTTCTATATATAGCTGTAACATTTGAACATACATAAGGACATATTGTAAAATAATAGAAAGGCCAATTGTAAAATTAATTTAGGGCGATACACTTGTATGGGTCGTATTACTGATTACCTACCTGTATGATGTACCTGAATAGCATAAATAGCTTTAGTTTTGAGAAGTTTCTAGTTTTATCTTCCTCTTGAAGATGATCACTTGGTGATCGAAACACGTGTCGAGGTGTAGAAATAACGATTTGGTGTTGGGAAAAAACTCCAGTAATATGCATTACTACACCAAAGGTTCCAAACAGTATATCATAAGTATCATCTGGTGACATGAAAACATCAAGGGTGCCCCTTTAGGATCACAAGGGCCTTTACTAGAAACGTTGCATTGAAATCAATTGAAAACATTAAACAATCAACAATTCGAAAAGAAAAAACTTGATATTTTTATGTGATACAATTGTATGACTTGGGAAGATACAATATTTGCATTAACAAAAAATTCATCCATTGCAGGTACACAGACGAGAAATATAACAGACGATGATATCGTTGCCCAAGCAATGATTTTCTTTTTCGCTGGTCTTGACCAAATGGCAATATGTATGTCTTTCATGTGTTTAGAACTTGCTTCAAATCAGAGTATTCAAATGAGACTCAGGGCAGAGATTGAGAAAACTCTCTATATCAACGAAGGAAAGATAACATACGAAGCCCTCTTGGGAATGAAATATATGGATTTAGTTGTTTCAGGTTGGTGTTGTTTTTTTATGTAATTCTGGAACTTGATTGCATATCTCATGTTTTTGTAAGTTTGGAAAATAGTTATGGAAATGAAATTGAGAATGCAAGAGACCAAGAAGTGTTTTCGACGCCCGAATGGTGCGGATCGTCAAAAAGAAATGTCTAATGGAGAATAAATGATTATTTTTCGCCAACTTAGCCGTACGAAAGGTTCTGTTAAGTCATTTTCAGCTTCAGATGAAAGTTCAAGTTTGTCTTGTCAGTCATTAACCTTCAAACTCAGATCTATGAGAGTACTATGCCTCAAAAACTGTGTGAAGGGCGCAAACGTGCTTTACAGTAAGCAACTTCCCAACTATTGGAGAGTTCATTGGAAGTCGTGAAGTTAAAGAAAAGAAACCGGACAAATACGATTAAAAAACAAGTGGAGAGTAATAAATTCAATAGAAAAAAGACAATGAGGAAATGTGAAACTATATTCATAGATTTTCATATAGCAGTCCTCAAAAACCAGTTTTTTCGAAAATAACAAGAAAAAAACGATCGGAGAGACTAAGAAGAAAAGTATCATGAGGCACAACTAATTTGATGTTAGCTTCAGTGCAAAACTGTATGAAAATGTATTGTACAAACTGCATGGGCAAGAGGACAAATTTATCTCCAATAGAATAAAATTTGCCAATTTACGACCAAATTTTCTCTACGAGTTCAAATCAAACAGCTCGAAGAATGAATGGCATTTGGAAATGATAGTGTTAATGAACGCACTGTTCGGTAACGTTGGTTTGCGAAATATTGATTCGAAAGTTCCAGCCTTGAAGGTGGACATCAAAGATGGATCCGAAGTGGTCGACCTGCAGTAATTCAAAACGAGGGTTTGAGGACCCTGGTGGATACTGACCCATCACCTAATATTGAACCCTATTCTCAAGACTCTCGTCGACATTTTTTGGATTATTCAAACAAAAGATTTTCACAAAAAGCCTTTCTCATGAATTGGGTTATTATTTCATGTTCACTCATTGTTTTATAATCAATTCATATATCCCTACAATAACCCAAGCTTATAATTGTTGATGAGAAACGTCAATGTTGAAAAAATTTTTCTTTTCAGAAACCCTGAGGAAATATCCCATCAATGTAGAGGTTGACCGGCTCTGCAGTCGCCCATATACCATTCCACCAGCTGGTCCACTGGAAAAACCCTTACTCATAGAGAAAGGTACAGTTTTATGGATCCCAATAGTGGCACTACATCATGACCCTAAATTTTTCCCCGAACCGAAACTATTTGATCCCGAAAGATTCAACGAAGGAAACAAATCAAAAATTGTGCCGAACTCATATCTTCCATTCGGCATTGGTCCAAGAAATTGTATTGGATCAAGATTTGCACTTTTGGAAATTAAATTGTTAATGTTCCATTTGTTGGCCAACTTTAAAGTTGTTTCGATAAAAGAAACAGTGCAAAACTTTAATCTATCTAAGAGAACATTCAATATGCGCCCAGAAGGTGAACAACTGTGGTTGGGACTCGAGCCTATAAAATAATGACTTTTTTCAAGTGAGTTGAGTATTGTAGTTTCTAAAATGTATGATGTGGATTCCTAAACATATACAATGAGGAAGAGGCAAATGTTCACATTCGATGATCTTCACTGTGATTTTTCCACATCAAACAACTCATCACGTGCTTTCTTGAGAATACTCTATGAACTTTGTTGTTTGGATGAATTATTGAAAACATGTGTTTTGGATTTGGTTTGAAGACAGTTGGTAGTTTTATACCACTAATTTCATTTCTGAACAAATCATTCACCGAAAACTTCAGTTATGACATGCTTTATACATGAAATGTAAGAGTTGACATGATACAAATTATCATAATTAATAAAGGATATGATGAGTTCCGATTGTATATGAAATAGTTCCAGAGTAATTAAATGAAAGTGATAATTACGAAGACGTATATGAAGGAAATAATCACTACACAGGAGAAAAAATCAGATGTCTACATGCTAACATCTTAATTGTGCATAAAAATGTATATTTGTAAACGAAGTGAGTGACACTTCGTTTAGTATGAACAGTTTGAATTTGCCGCGTATTAACGAATATGTAGGTTATGTTAAAGAAGATATTGTAATTCAAACATTTAATTAATAGGGACTGGTGAAGCAATATCTTCAAATGTTGTTTCTCTTTTCAGGTGAGTTTATGATTAAGTATTGTTGAAGAATGTTTTGTTGAAAGTGTAATGACAGGTTTATGTATTAAAATCCTCCTCTCCTTTCAGAGCAACTCAATTTTCGTTATACTTTTACTGTTCCCCAGAATATCTAAGGATAATTATGAAACACATTATGAAACAACATTTCTATAGCTGGTTTCTAAAAATAATGGAAAAGTTCAGATTCGAGTTCATGGTGAAAAACTTTTGGGAATTGCAAAACAAAAAGCAAGATTTGAAATAAAAAATATACAAACCTGGAAATAGAAACAGTTTCATAAAGAATAATTCTGATTTCATTAAAAACGAATCCGAAACAGAAATCTCCTGGTGCGTTTCGATGTTGTGAGTTGATGAAAACCGAAGAATTGTAAAAACTTAATTTATTGAAAAATAATAGTAATTCAAATAATGGAACGAAACTAACTGCGAAAGCTATTTTGGAGCTTCTGAAAGTATGCACCAATGAAACTTTTTTCAGTTCATAGATGATTTTGATTAACAAGAATTTGTAATGACAATGTTTTCATCCTTGTCACTGATTCTGAGTAACATTTTCATGAAGCATTTAGAAAAAACATACATCGAAACTCACCAGAATGGCCAAAAGATATAGTAGAAATATGTTGATGTATGTTTTTGCTATCTGGGACCATAACCCAAATGATATCAACGTTTTCTTGAATTATTTGAATACAAGAGAATCCAGAAAAAAATTCACGTTGGAAAAGCAAGATATTGATCAACTTTTTTTTCTCGAGCTTGTCAAAAACTTGATAAATACTCTTGATACGAGTGTTTATCGAAAAGAAACTCATACTAATGGATATCTCCACTATATATCTAATCATCACCCTAGCGTAAAGAAAGTTACCTATATATAGATATTTAGTTGATACGGCAAAATCAGTTTGCAAATCAGTTTATAATATGAAAGAGGAAATAACTTTCATTGAAACGGTTTTGTAGAAAAACGCATATCCTGAGCAAATTGTGGGAAAAATTTTCAATGTAGTTGGTAAACATATACAGATTCCACAATCATCACAAACCCAACAATACTCATACCTCACAACTAATGTCATACCTTATGTTTTCGGTTTGTCTGAGAAATTGAGACGCATCAGTTATAGAAATAATGTAAGAACAACTTTTAGAACTAACAACACATTGAGATCTTTTTCAATACAAAGTAAACCCGAAAATATGGTTCAAGAACAAAAGACTGTATTCACAATATATCTTGTTTCTGAGGAAAAGTTATATAGGTGAAACCTCAAGACCCTCTAGATGAGAGAAAAAATTTCCATCGTAAATATATAAGAAGAAGACAGATGACAGGATCGGAGATAGCGGAGCATATTCTGAAATCATCTGGTGGAACAAAAACTATCACCAAAGAAACTCATGAATAAATAAAAAAGATCAAAGAATTAGCAAATATTTTTTGAACAGGTAACAAATAAGTTTCAAATATCTGTGCAAATGGGTCGTACCTGGTTACCATTGATAATACAAGAGGTTGAGAACATAAAAAAGAATCTCAAGTGAATTCTTAAAAAACCTCTAATATATATTCATTCTTTTGAAATTTTTCTGAATAATTGAAGCTATTTACAATTTGGGGCAAAGGTTTCAAAGTGAATTTTGGGTTCTGATTACGTAAAAAGATTGTTTTCTGAAACGTCGGCCATTAAAGAGCGCTATGTTTGGGAATTCAATTTCTCAATTGATTTTTTCCAATTCGAAGGCAAAATTCATGAATATAACAAGTTACTGATGAATTCAACCCATAATACGCAGTAAGTTCTCGGAATGAACTTTTCAGTTTGCCCTTCATTTATCCTTTAGCAGATTCTCTATTTATTTGGCCTTGTTTATTATTCAGATTGTGGAAGGTTATATACCCATGAAAGAATAAGTAGTAACAAAATATCTCTTCTTCATTGATGTATTTATTAGATATGACATTTCATATGCTCATAATGAGGAAAGAAATAATTACCCGCAGACCACGGCCGAAAACCCCAGAAAATAGCATTCACACAATAATCACCAGCCGCGAGTTCACACCCTTTAAAAAATAATTTTATCAAAAATGATATAATTTCAAATGTGTAGCTGCTCAAACTTTCATAAAGAAAGAAGTACCTATTATGGAAAGTATGAATGGAATTCTTTGTTTTACACAACTGTCAAAAACTTGAATGATGTGAAAATGATTTGAGAATTTGATTCATAAATGATAAAATCAGCAGGTATATACTTTTCAGAATTATTGTTGGAATATTTGCAGGCAAAGGCGCATTATATTCTCATGAAAAAACGTAAGTATATACAATAATCAACTTCAATCTCCTGCTGGTTTCATGATTGACCAGCAATCAATCTGATGTAAATCTAAAACCACCATACAACTCAATTCGGTTACCCCGACAAAGGATGCAACAAAATGTTCACTTGCAAGTTCAACCATAAAAAAATAATACCTTCAGAAGAATGAGGTAGACAAGAATATAGACAAAATTTATTGCTCAACATGATGAGCATGATGTTAGGACTGAACTTTCTAAAAAATCGTACGTAGATATGGGTGTAAATCTTTCCCAGGCGCCTTCGATTGCCAGATATAAGTGCCATCGACACAGTCGAGTGAAAGTTATAGTGCAGTACGCGAAGCGATTTAGTAAGGTTCAGAGGAATCGGGTAAATTACGGATATGCGGTTGATTAGTACCACTAGATGGAGTGACATTTTTCAATTATGGAATATCATTGACTTTAGGTCGATGATGGTCACAATCTTGCACTGATGAGTGGCTAATGACTCAAAAACCGGTCTGCAAGTGTGCCTGTTCCAAAATTGAAGGTCGACTCTTTCAGTGGTATTGCCAATTGCATTTGCAGAAAGTTTTCTGTGAAGATTTCTGCACTGACGCCTGTCGGATATAATCCAATGCCGCTCGTGGTATTAGCCAGGGGAGTAGTTGTTTTCTGATTGGTTTTTATTTGTTCACATATTATTTAGTTTTGATATATTTCAATAACAAAGCTGAGATGTTTTCTGTATTCTTCGGGAGGCTCTTATTAATGGCGAAAATACAGGACTTTCGATGTTTTCAATTACGTGTCTATGTCTAATAAAATATATAAAGTATTTAGACATTGATTTATCCACCATTTTCTCATTCAGTTCTTTCCATTTTGCATAGTTTAGATACAAATAGTCGTAGACGATTCAGAACAAATTTTCTTTCTTCAGGTTGGAGCCACAATCCTCTATTAATGCGAGTAAATGAGTCATGGTACGATGATGGATCATTACATCAGACAATATTTTGCATATAGTAGATATGATTTTCAAATCGATTCATTTTTTAAACAGATCATTTTATTGGTTTCATTTGCTGTGCAATATTCTTTATTGCAACAAAATACGAGTTTTTCATGTTTTGAACTATCAAAATACTATGATCACAAACTCCTATGATTGATGCTTGCTGACGCTGGTTATGAATTCCATACCATTAAAGCGCGCATAACCCACATTGATGAAAACGCAGAAAAAACAATTTTCTACCACTTTTTTTGCAAGCTAATGATGTAATAACACTTACAAAATACAAATCATGAAATTATGAAACAACAATGAAAATTAATTGGCGCTCCGGGGCGACTTCATTGATTCCAGTGGCGCATTTGCTTTTTCAGCTGCAGGAAAACCCGGAAAAACCCGCAGCACCACATCATTCGAAGATATCGATCTGTCAGTGTTATTATTACATTGACTGGTGCCTCAGCTATACTTGTTTTTTCATAACCGTCAGTTAGTTTGGCGCATGTTTGGTGAAGTTAGGAGTTCTATTTTCAGATGATTCAACAATATGCTTTGCATGGACTGGTTTTATTAATCATATTAGGAAACGCTAGTTGAAGTTTCAGTAATTCACATAAGTTTTTGCTACCTCTTGAACATTTGTTACAAAGTAAACAAGTGAGGATTTTTCCAGCAAGAAATTTACACACATAGTATGACATAGACTGCATGGAATCATTCAATCAAGAGCGATCAGTGGTATTGATTCTGCTATTGTTTTGCTCACGAAGAATATTCAACAAGAACCCCAAGAATTCGGAACAATCCTCTTGTTGTCCTAACAAGTATTTAGTGGACTTCAAAGACTTCAAAAAATTGGTTGGAAAGAAAGATGATACATTCTTACGAAACTGCAGCTGCATGAACAGGTGTTTGAGTTTGGTGAATAAGTAAGAAACATTCTCGTTTATCACTGAAACCTCGTTCTTGAGATTCTTCGTCATGAACATGCCATGCATGTACCACTTATAGTTACTCAAAACTTATGTAAAATTGAAGGATATACTATTTTCTATCTTGAAATGGTATTCCCATGCAACTATAATGAAAATAATTTGTATTGTTTCGAATGGAAAAATAAGTTTTTAAAATATTTGATTTCTCACCACAATTCGATGTGGAATTTTCTTATAAATTATTCATGATTTCGAAAAAATTTCCGAAAATAATTTGACCTCTAGTGGTATTACAAGTGAAAATATTGAACCCCTTGTTGATGAATTGCCACTTATAGCGCTCAGAACAATATATTTATTTTCAACAAGAAGAAGCTTTGCCTAACAAAACTGCAATCGTCACCAATTTTTTGGCTACAAATTTTGGTAATAATTTGATAGCCAACCAAGGACCCAACCGTTGGCCTGTCAGGTCACCGGACTTAACGCCTATGCACTTTTACCTTTGGGGAAGGTTGTAATATCTCATTTTTGAATTGGCGATCAATTTTAGATACCAATTGGAAACAGCAGTGATGCAAAGTTTTGCATCACTTCTATTGAACTGATCAATACAAAAAAAAAGTTGGTTTCCATCAATAACTATTAATATTCCATTTGGAAAAATAAGTTTTAGTGCTTTGGTATTGACTTCATAGGAGCAAAAAAATTTTGAGCTTCAAGGCAAGTGTCTTACGGCGAAACATTGATGTCTACCAGTGAGGATGGTGTGTTCCATGTAAGTGTAATTTGTTACCATTCATTC